CGACGGTTGGTTTTTCCGGAGAATCGCGTTTTTATGCTCCTCGGACAATGGTTTGGCGTAAGGCGAAACCTCGAAAGGAACCACCGCAACCATTGCCGGACGGTCCAAGCTGGAGGCGGGAGCATTATGGTCTGGGGAATGTTTTCCCTGGCATTCTCTAGGTACTGATCATTGTGGAGGCACATACAAGTACATCTGTCCACCATGTTTCACCCCTACATGCGCATTGTTTTTCCTCAGGATGATGGCATCTTCCACAGGACATGCGAGGTGCCATAACGCTGCCAGTGTCGTGGCGTGGTTCGAAGAGCACCAGGTGATTTAAACGTCCTCCCCCCTGGCCAGCAACTCACCTGACTTAAACCCCATCGGCATCTGTGGGGCCATCTCGATCGAGTTGTTCGCATCCTCATCGCGTAATCTAGCGCAGCTGGCCACCATTTAGTCGGCATGGCTCAACATCCCAGAGAACCCCCTTCAGGACCTATGGACTCCTACCTGACGTCTCGCAGCAGTCCGCTCTCGAAAGGTGGTTATTCTGGCTTTTGACGATGGTCCATTAGACTGGACTGTGTAGAATTTGGCAGACCAGCAAAGAGCGGGATACACGGTACGCCACAAAAACCACGTAAACGGCCATGCAGCCAGCACTTTCCCGGGATTTGAACCTCGGATCGAACTACCAGTGTTTAGCGTCTTTACCGCTGGTGGGCCAGAGGTGAGATATGCAAATGATTAGAATTTAAGCGCACACGCACATCACGCGTGCCTGTGGCACCACTTCAAAGCATTATTTAAGACTTGGGAGTTATCGACGATTTCAAGTTCAGCAATTGTGTTTTTCTTGTGGTTTATCAAAAAAACGATCAATTACGCCTCGTAGTAAACAGCAATAATCATTTGATCAAGTATTCGAGTTCGACAGAGGAAGGATAGTGACCTACCGAGAGTGTGGATTATCTTTCAGGGAAATCGGTAGTTGTGTTAGACGAAACCAAACAACTGTAATGTGGATATGTGACCGCTGGATGCAGGAGGGTATGACGGACCGACGTGTTTGATCGCATCCACTTCAGTGCACCGCTTCACGTGATGACAGGAACATTGTGCGCATGGCAGTGACGGATCGCTCAGTCACATCACGAACCATAGCATAACACATTAAGTCTATAACTCATCATCCAGTGTCTGCGTGTACCCTTCTACGCCGTTTACAGCAGTGTGGTCTGTCTGCAAGATATCCATTGCTTCGATGAACCACAGACAGACCACAGACGTCTCTGCTGCCAATGGTGCGATGAAAGAAGGATGTGGACAGCAGAACGGAATGAAATTGTCTTTACTGACGAGTCACGCTTCCGTCTGCAGCACCATGATGGTCGGATTCGAGTCTGGAGACACTGTGGAGAGAGGATGCTGAATAGCCGCATTATGCACAGCCACACTGATCCTGCACCGGGTATCATGGTATGGGGTGGTATTGGATATCACTCTTGCACTCCTCTAATATGCATTGCCGGTACTTTAAACAGCCACTCCGAGGTATTGGAGCCAGTTGTCCTTCCTTACCTTCAGGGCTTGCCCACAGCCATATTTCAACAGGATAATGCGCGACCACATGTGACACGCATTGTCCAAGGGTTCTTTGTCAATTGCCATATTGAACTGCTTAACTGGCCAGCTCACTCTCCGGATCTTTCACTGATAGAAAACGTGGTCCATGGTTGCTGAATGACTGACCCAGATTACATCCCAAGCTGGCACACCAGGTCAACTTTGGCAACGTGTGGAAGCTGCTTTGCCTGCTGTACTCCAAGGAACACGTCCAAAGTCTCTTTTGAATCAATGCCGAGGCGTGAGGCAGCGATTTCCAACAATGGCGGCTACTGATTCTGGAAGAAACCACACTTCACAGAAGTCTATAAGGAAGCACTTCCGCAGAGAACCCGGTAAATATAAACATTGCCAACTTGGTGATAATAGCTCAAACCTGGTAACCCAGTGGATTTATCCTATTCGCTTGTTCGAACCATTCCTCTTGCGTTCATTTTGTTGAATTATCATTGTTATTGTTCGCATTTGCAGATTTATATTATTCTTCTCCTCTTATTTATTATTTTTTCTGAATTTTTTAACAATGAATAAATAGAAATATTTTCGTAGATAGATGCCAGTTCTTGGGTCGGGAAGAAAGGAAGAAAATACACAAAAATGTGCATGTACATTTTAAATAATTAAATAATACTTTTATTTTTATTATTAGTTATTGTGATCTAAAATTATGAGAATAAATCAATGGTACAACTCTAATATACGCCCTAATTTCACCAAATGTGGCAATATGTGTTCTGCGCTGGTTTTTGGCACGATTTCGTGTTCTATGGCAACCCTGTTGACGTTGAAAAATCTTTCGCTGGAGCTCGTTGATTCGCCTCTGTGTCTGAGAAGATGGGAAGGAAAGATAAATGGTAGTTGTTGAATTGAAGTTCGGCAAAAGGAAATATCATTGTGGCTATCCTGTTGAGGGGTAATGGGTATTTGGAAGTGCGGAAAGAGGGTCTGGGAGATTATTTTTAATGGCAGTGTATGATAGAAGTAGGGATTTGTGATTTCATTTATTTGTGAACCATAGTATAAATTTTCTGGATAGTGTGTCTGGCTGTCATGTAAATACGATAGTGATTATGTGGCGGCATGTTAAAGGCGGTATGAAATTTATATTTCTGCTATTCGAAAATGCATTAATTCATGGTAAGTGCATTTTATTTTACCCTCCTTCTTATTTTGTAGAATGTTACGTTTCATTGGTCTTAAGTATGAATTTCTGTTGTTATTGTTCTTTTTTTAAATGTTTGAAATTTATTTGTTGTTTAGTGTCTAGACTGTGCATTCGTAGATGTTTTTTTAAAGTTGAAACAGAACGCTGTGTACATGGTATTATTTTGAAATTTATTGTTATGTTATTTTATTAAAGCGGAGTGCGTAGATCGTAGATTCCTTCCTTGCCTAAATTGTGCAATTCGTATAATTTTTTTAAAGTTTAAACAGGAATCTGTGTACGTGTATTCTGTGAATTTATTGTTTTGTTAGTTATTAAAGCGAGTGTGCGTAGTTGTAGATTTGTTTGTTGCCTACATTGTGCCATTCGTAGATGTTTTATGTCGCCGGTACATGGATTCTTGTCAAATATTTTTGGTTAGAAACTTTACGTTTTTTTCTATCTAATTTTTTTTTTTTCTTTTTTCGGTTTTTAGCTAAATTGTATGTTGAAAACGTAGTTTTTGCATGTGCGTAAATTGCGTTTTTTGGAGACATTTTAGGCTAAAAGTTCGAAATGTAGACAAAAAATTTAGATAGTAATATGGCAGCGTGAAGTTCTCGCCAAAATATTTGGCGCGAAATTTGGTGACTTGAGGGCGCATATCAGTAGTTCCATCATTTTGATGGCGTAAAATTTAAAAGATAATGTTAATGCTTTCAAACAATAACCTTCAGAGGATGGCAGGTGTACATAAATAATGATTAAATTGAAATAAAAATATATTTGATTATCTAATGACAGAATATTGATGCATCACCATGATCAAAATTAGCAAACCACTGCTGGTGTAGGAATATATTGTTTTCTGGGTTAACTGGAATTTAAGACAAGTTTTTTCGTTTATCGCGTTTAACCGGTTAATTTCAGTACATTAATACTAATTTATATTTTTAAATGAATCTATCACGTTACGGCTCGGCTCATCGTCGATGAACCGCAAGCTTGGCGAGTAAAAATGCAACGGCGCCAACAGGTTCTCTGCGGATGAAAACCCATCTATAAATTTAATCATTTAATATTTGGTCAACATGTTATCTACTAAATAAATTTTGCTGTGATATCTCTTGTCTTTCTTGGTGTTGCAATTTGGGTGGCCAGCAGTGTATAATAATCAGGATTGCATATCTAAGTAAATATTTTGGTTACTTTTACGTCTTTTGAGTACTCTACACTTGACTCTCATTGTAAAAAATGTTAGTCCGGCCTTGCACTCACTGCGAGAATATCATTAGATCAATACACTTCTCATATATTAGTTTTGTAGTATTAATTTATATGTGACTTGGTCACTTCATCATACAAGCTAGTAATTGCTGCTGTGCAATATTAATTCATAATGCAATATTAATTATGGAATAATTTACAGTAACATGATTAAAGAGATTTTCGAAATATCTGAAAAAGTATTTCTATACAACAGAGCCGGATATTATTTCATTACTTGAGGATAATTTAAAGTACTTTAATTAAACCTTTCATGGCAACCACTTTCAAAGCAACCCTTGTGTTCCTTACAGCATAAACAGACATCTTATTTTACCTCTTCAAGGCGACTACTTCCATAGAACAGTGCTCCGCAACCTTTTCTCACCTGCGACGCACAAAAAATCTTTCTGGAATTTCGTGGCACACCAAAGAGTTCCGAGTTATCAAGGAAGTGCCGAAAAAATTCAAATGCTGACCACTTACAATCACACACACAACCACACAACCTGAATATATAAAAAATTTTAAATAGACATTATTAAGGAAAAAAAATGTCATTGTGTATTAAATACTGATAAAAAAGCAAATGTCAATACATGTATTGAATTGCGGCACACCTATATCCTACTCATGGCACACCGGTTGCGGAGCATTGCCATAAAATACTAAAACCATCAGAAACCATGTATGATAGTTTCAGGTTTTTCTACACATTCATATATTGCGGTACAATTGTATCAATTTCTGCAGTCTGGAGACAAAGTCACTAAGTAATAATTTATTTATTACAAACAAAGTAACATGAAAGTAAATAAAAACATTAAAACGCAACACTACTAAATTATTCTAAAAAATCATATGGTCTTATAACAGAAATTTAACAACTAGATGCTATGACCGTATATTACGCACATTTAAATAATAAACAAATCGTTCATCACAAACCAAAAAACACACTAAAAAGGATACTTACCTATTATTATTATTATTATTATTAAATAAGTTCCACGAGTAACGAGAAAAACACTCTCAGCGGTTACAGTTTGATTTGCAATTTCATCTAAATTTAGGCTATGTTAGCTTTCATACATTCTGTAAAACATTAAAATGATTATCCTTGCTAGCGTCACTTTTCAATTTTTTCATAATATTAAATAACTAGATATTTACATTTAAACTTTCTGAAAACAATTTATTTTAATCTCATTCATTTCATTTAGTAGTTTATTTCTAAATGGCTGAAAGACCATTACAATGTTCAAAACAGTTGTGTTATTAAAAACCAGAAGTGAATAATGACATCAGTAAATAACGACAAACAAAAAAGGAAAAAAAGTCCTTTGTAGTATTTCCTTTGTTCATTATTTTTAATGTAGCCATGTCGGAAGATTTAACTGCACAGCCAGAAGGCTCAAGTACTCAATCCCAAAGTGAATGCGATGAAAATGCAAGCAATTCTAAGGCATCAGGCTCTCACAAATTGAGACCAAAGAAATTAAAACAATCTGATGAGACTGATGCTCTTGAAGAACGCTTGAATGGAATTTTGTGTTGTGCTGTGTGCTTAGATTTGCCAAAGTCCGCAGTTTATCAGGTAGCTGTTCAAAGCTAAGAGCGTAATTTATTATTATATTACTAATTACATTAAAAATTGTTTTTAAGGGAGTAATTTTTTATCCGTTGTTAATACAGTTTTGAAATTACTGAAATAATCATTTAGTGAGTAATAGTAGTAGTTAGTGAATAATTGAGTTAGTAAAATAATAATTTAATAAAAGTGCTTAAATAGTTAAATTATACATACACGTTTTCCAGAATCTATGTGACTTTATTCAGATTCAAATCAAAACAAAATTTATTTCATTTATTATCGCATTAAAAATTTATTTTTTATATAATTATTATGAAGTTTTTTAAGAATTATGTAAATTTGCATGCATGTGTCAATTTATCACATATTTTCTAATTTTTAAAAATGTATTCTTATTCTGTGCTATTATATGTAATGTATGCTGTTAATTTTCAGTGTCGAAATGGGCATCTGGTATGTTCAGATTGCTTTAATCATTTGCTTGCTGATGCTCAGTTAAGGATGGGCACTGCAGTTTGTCCAAGCTGCAGAACCTTAATAAGTAAAGACCTCTGTGTCCGTAACTTAGTTGTTGAGAAAGCTGTATCTGAATTACCTGTAACTTGTCAAGCGTGTTCTACTACATTTCCTCGATGCTTACTTGATATTCATGAAAAGGAGATCTGTCTTGAAAGGTTTGTTATTCTTTAAATATTTTTTTTAATGTTAACACTGTTTAATCATTTTAATCTGATTGATAAACAGATTTCGGAATGGTTAGAGAAACAAAGGATATGCCTTTATCCATTTTTTTTGCAGCAATTCCATTTTTTTGTTTGATTTACAATCGAAACATACTTTCGCTTTGTAGATCCTTTTGGCAACTTCAGCATCGGAAATTCTTTTACATAATCGAAAGTTCAGCTTACTTTATAAAATGCTCTAACAGTCTGCAAAAAATAATAAGCCGGATCCAATTCGAAGATTAAGGAACAATGCGATCTGCAGCATTAACTGAAATAGATAATTAGATAATTTTAGCTTAGCTTATACCATCCGTTATACATTAAACACGCATGAGTCAAGGCATTATGCCTTGACTCAAGCACAGAAAGTTTGTAGCTTTGAGGTCCGGATTATAGATCATTCCGGATTATGGGTGTCCAGATTAATGAATTTTGACTGTATATGTTTCGTGCATTGTGATAAAACAACTTTTCCTAGAGCCATCAAAGTTTAAATAACATGCGTCTGCACCCGGATATGGGCATCAGGAAGCCCAAATTTGGAATTTGTTTTATTATCTATTTTATATTCTGTAAAACTTTAACAAGTTTTGATTAACAAACTCAACAATTTCAAAGCGAGCATTGGCAACACTGTATGGAAAAAAAAAACTATTTTTATCTCCAGCACATGAGACTATGTATCGGAAATTCTAAAGATATGCTCATTTTAAAATTATTTTATGATATTGCTGTTGAACTGAATTTTCTGGTTTAAGTGCGAAGAACATGATATTTAGTAAATAAAGGTAACACACAAAAATGTTTAAAAAATGCCCCTTTGGGCGTAATGTAAAATCTGAAAGCTTTCAGATTTTATTTTTACTGTTGTTTTCAAACTGTATTCATTTTTATGTTTAATATTATAATATGTAGAAATAGTATTCTTGCAAATATATTTTTACTTGATGAATCAGCAAAAAAAAAAAAAAAAAAAAAAACCCTCTAAATTTTGTTATTCTGAAAATCAATCTCCAATTGAAATCTCCAACAGAGATGTGAAAAAGTTGAATTGAATTCTCATGTTTCAGACAGTTGCTTACAGAGAAGGCAACAACGGTAATAAGCAAATATTCCAAACATATTTTCCTATGAAATTGAATGTGAACTATAATAAATAAGAAAGCTTCGATGTTGAACATCAAATGTAAGCAACATTTATTTATGTTTATATTTATTTATGTATAATATATATAAACTTTTTAATATTTCATAATAGATACATTTAAATGCTAAATGTTTTTAAATGTACAGAATATGAGGCAGGTGATAACTTCCCTTGAACTGTTAGACCCATATCATACACGCATTTGTTTCACACAAACAACTGTTTCAGACAATTTTTATGCTTGGTTTAGTATTGAAAGAAAGACATGCGATTTTTTTTTTTTTCCTTTCAAAAAAAATTGCAAGTTGTTCGTTTTCAACCAATCAGCTATCAGCTTGTTTGTAATGGAGAACAAATTTACCCTGTGTTAACCCAAAAGCGATCTGTGGTGATTGGCTGTTATGGCAAAACAGAAAAATTGTTCCAAACAGTTGTTCTTCCGAAAGAAATGGCTGTGTGATATAAGCTTTGATATAATTTAATTGTCCAAGATTATATCTACTCCTTTTTTATTCTGTTAATTATAAATTGCAACAAATCATGCCGTTTACCTATCATTCTCTAACAATCAGATACTTGTATGCAATACCATGTCCTTGAAGGTATTTAAGTTGCACTAGGTGACAATTATTGAAGCAGTTTAACGAACAAACATGACAAAATTTGGTTTAAGCTCATCTATCATTCCCAGTTAAGAAACTATAAAGTTGGCAAAAAGAGTTTTTTTTTTTTTTTTTTTTTCGTGTGTGTATATGTGTTAAGTTAGCTACTTAAAAAATAGAAGTATACTATTTTAGATAAGATAATATGCTAAGAGTGACCATAAACATAATGACTTTATAAAAGTGGATAGTTAAATGCATTAATGAAATTCATCATTTAAAAAATTTTGAGCTTATTTCAAAACTGACATACAAAGCAACATTTTCAAATAAATATCAATCTCTGAAGTTTATTTTTGGACAATGCATTGGTTATCTCCACAGTAGTAGTGCATATAGTAAAATAAAACAGAAACACAGTTAGAAATATGTTTACTGTAATCACTAAAATATATGAAATTCCTTTTACATTGTTCAAAAAAGAATTTAGTATGAAAAGGAAAGCTATTTGATTAATATTAATGTATAGTGTATGATTCTTAAAAAATATCATTATGGTTTGAAAATTCTAGGTGTTATTTCTCAAATATAATGCTTAACAGAATTCTGTAATTAGTTATAAGTTACTCCAGTTAACAACAGTGTTAGAGATTGATATAGTGTTAGTGTTCCAGTGTTGGAGACTGATAGACAGTGTTATAGATATAATCTTTAAAAACAAAATTAGCATATATTTATAATATATTAATTAATCTCTTCTTTTTAGAAAGTCTCAATGTTGCTACTCCAGAATAGGGTGTCCTTGGGTTGGCCCATTTAAAAAAAAAGCAGACCATGAGAAACGTTGTGCACAGCCCAAGAAAAAAGGTAGTGAAATAAAGAAAACACTTACTACTTTCCCTCATCAAGAGAAAGCTGATGAGTTACATCGCCTATGTAATATTTTAGCATCTGATGAAATTGCTTATAATGGTAATTTTTTTCCTTTGTAATTGCATTTTTATTTTTGTTATAATTTTTTAATTAAATTTTTTATGTGCAGTGAAAATTTCAAACATTATTCCCCACCTCTTTTTTTCTTTTTGGTAGATCTGCAGCTTTTGGGGCCATATCATACAGATGAATATTATATCAGGTATGAAACTTTCAGATTTTGTGCATTTGGAATGGAATGGGAAGTTAGAGCCCATGTCAATAATAATGAAGCAGATCCTACATTGTCTAGTGAAAGGACACTTAGCTATCAACTTTTATTAAAAGAGCCCATTGACAGGTAAGAAATTTAAAATATTTTTCTTGTGTAAACACTGTCGCTTAAAATGTTAAAAGTTATCAAAATGAGACTATAGAATTGAATGTTATCCTGAAAAATTAAATCTCCATTATATACAGTCAAAAGTCGTCAATTCGGACACCCATAATTCGGAATGATCTATAATCCGGACCTCAAAACTAAAAACTTTCTGCGCATGCGCCGCGTTGACACATGCGCATAGGCGTTTACGCGTGCGCGAAATCTTTTTACGACTGCGCGTATGAAGTGTGCGCATGCAGAATACGTTTACGCGTGCGCGTTTATGTATAATAGACGTATAAACTAATTAATCTATCTATTTCATTAATGTTGAGATTGTGTTGTTCCTTAATTTTCGAATTGGATCAGGCTTATTATTTTTGCACACTGTAAGAGCAATTTTATAAAAGTAAGCTTAAACTTCGATTATATCAAATAGAATTTTCCGATATATATTTGCTAATATGTAAAGGATCTAAAGCGAATGTATGTTTCGAAATCCGAAATCTGTTTATCAATTTCACGCAGTTCGGCGGGGGGAATGCCTCGGCGCACAATGATTTGGAAGTTGATCTCTCATCACTATCCTTATCTTCAAGGCAGATGTTTTTATTTTATTTGGCTTATAATTGCCTAACTAAATGTAGTATTTCATCTCGATGCACTCCGTCTTTGATATGATTTAAAACAAGTTCCTCGTCATTATAATTCGCTTCCGATAGTCAAGAAAGTAACAGAGGTTATTGAAAACGAAAAAAATTTCTATTGACAATTAGTCGTGTTCTCGACACAGCAATTATGGACTTGAACAGCGGAACTTTGTAACTGAACAAGAAATTATGTCTGTTTAATAAATTAAAGAGAAAGTATTATCACATGAAACGAAGCAAAACTTAAACACTTACCTGAAAGAAATGTTTAATAATAAACAAATAAATATTAAGCTTTTTCTTTTTGCAAATTTTGATACCCTTTAGATCATAATTGTTCTTTATTTCATAAATTACGGTTTCATATTTTTAATTTTGAATTTCTCATGCCATCTTACATTTAAACTGATGAATCTATAATCCGGAAAAAATCGATAATCCTGAATCGCCAAAGTCCCGACGAGTCCGGATTAACAACTTTTGACTGTACATACATATATACATAAAGAAACTTAATTAGAGGCAAAGATTAAAAAACAAATTTTTTATCCCTGTCCTGGGCTACAGCTGCATGATTGAAGTAACATAAACTTAAAGCATCTAATGTTTCCTCAACAATATTAATAATTATGTCCTTTTTTAAGAGTTTTAACACAATATCAAAACAATTCAAAATAAAAATGATCACAATAGTACAAACTCAAAAACTAAAAATGCAGGAGAGAAAATATATACAAGATAATAAAAATAATATCTTTTACTGAAACTCCAATTCAAAACTCATCAAGGGAAAATGAATTAAAGCTTCATAAACATTGATTAATATGCTTCGAAAATGTATTTCGTTTTCCTGGTTCATTTGAGATAAAAAACTGAAAAACTTTTACTGGTACTTTAAAAAACTCATATAAAATTTAAAAAAAAAAAAATAAATAAATAAATAAAACATAACATTGTTTCAAATTGATCACATGCAACAAAAAAAAAAAAAAAACCCATAAACTTTCCATATTAAATGACCATTCGAAAAAAAAACAAATCGGTCTAAAAACATTATATGCAAATCCAAAATTAAAAGTCAAACATAAATATACATTGCAATACAAATATACTTTAAACCAAATAGTCATCATAAACACTATCGCTTAAAATGTTAAAAGTTATCAAAATGAGACTATAGAATCGATACTCTAAAAATGGGCGATTATGCTTAACTAAACTTTTAAATCCAAGAAAATGAAAAACTTTTCATAGAGATTTCTTTAAGTAATAAAATTAAATATGAGCATTAATCAGCTAAAATCTGAAAACCATTGAGAAATAAAAATTGAAGGAAAAAAAAACACACAAACTTGCTTAAATCTTAGGATGATTTTCAAAACGAAAATTTACCAAATTATTCAGATGACCAAGCTGTGTTTCTTGTAGAATTCATAGTAGCTCTGGAGAAGCAGAATATGTTAGTTCTTGGAAAAAGTATGTGATAGCGTTCAAAGTGTCCAATAACTAGGTATTTAAACATGTGTTCAAAACATCCTATTCTGTTAAACTTTGTGTGCGGAAGTGTTAAACGTGGGTGCGGTTATAAAAATTATTACCACAGGAAAGGTTCATCGTCACTTTCAAAATGATGGTGTTAAGAAACTCTAAAAGATAATGTTTTCTGTAAAATCATAAAACGTGAAATTAGTACTGGCTCATAGTTAAGGAAAAAGAAAAGTATATTTCATAAAAGGTAAAAGTCTTCATGTAGTTGGGGTATAAAACGTCTTTAAAACTAAAAAGCTTCTTTTTTTCAGTAAAAGCAAGAAGATTTACTAGTTATAAATTTATAAAATAGTAGAAAGAAAGTATGCATAATATTTGAAAGGGAAACGGAACAAGATCTTTGTACATTAAGATACAATAACATACCGAACAAGTATTAATTTAGAAGTCAAACAGCAAAAATCAGTGTGGTGGAAGGCAAATCGTTAAATAAAGTTCTTTCAAGAATGAATTCCATTTATCCTGCTACTCAGTTCACTTTTGAACTTGAGACTTGCAATTCTCTTCTGTTTCTCGACATTCTGATCACACGTAACACATCCAACTTCAGTACTATGGTTTACCGTAAACCTTCATCAGTTCACCACACTTCAAATCATGTCATGTGCCTAAACAAAAGTTAGCTTCATTTTATTCCTATGTTTTGTGTGCCCTTCAAGTGTGCTCCTCCAAACTATCTCTTGATGAAGAACTAAATTATTTAAAAGCAATAGCTATTGACAGGGGCTTTTCACCCAACATTATTAATCAAGCAGTTAAAAAATTCTCATCTCAACACACACTAAAAGGCCACACTCTTGTTTTAGGAGATTATAAAAATTCTGTTGTCATTCCCTTCTTTCCATCAATTAGCTATAAAGTTGCACATATTTTGCAGAAATTTAACTTTCGGGTTGTTTATTCTCCCATCAATAAAATTCAAGTTCTATACTCAAGGACCCCATTCTGGATATGAATTCCTGGGGTATTTTAAAGGATTCCTTGCCAGTGGGTTTATTACATTGGCCAAACTAAGAGAGCCTTAAAATTTCGCGTCAAGGACATGAGGCATATGTTAGAAAAAGGAAACACAGAAGTCTTCTGTTGCTCACATTGTTGGTCCGAAAATCACTCTTAATTTTTCTGCTGCCAAAATTATTCAAAAAACATCTTCCATTGGAGAACTGGATTTTCTAGAGGCATTTCACATTCAAAAAAAAACCTTTCTGTTCTAGTTAATGATCCTAATTCCAATCCCTCTTTGCCTTCGGCCTTTAAAGAAATTATGTTTTAGTTTTGGTTTCATTAACAGATGGTGCCAGTAGCTTTACTCCTGTCCAGGCTTTTTTCTTATCTTATCTAATCACTATATCTTATCTCATTCATTTGCGCTTTTGTAGCTGAGGATGCTGGTTCGGTAAAAACCATCGAAACTAGTCCTGTGAAAATTTGAAAATATAACACTGATTTTTGTTGTTTGATTTCTAAATTAATCTTTCTACATATTCACATTAAATTTCTTGTCGTAGTCATCCAATATAGGGATAATAATAGGAGGTAATAGTTGCAATTACATTTTTAAAACATATATTTTTTCTTTTTCCTCAGCTTTGAGCCAGTACTAATTTCATGTCTTAAGATTTTACAGAAAACATCACCTTTTAGTGTTTCTTAATGCCACCATTTTGAAAACAATAATCACCCTTCCCCATGGTAATAATTTTTACGACCGCATCCGCGTTTGACACTCCCACACACAAAGTTTAACAGGATAGGATTTTTTGAACACATGTTTAAATACTTATAACAAGAAATACAGTTTGGTCATCTGAAGAATTAAGTGAATTTTCGTTTAGAAGGTCGTCCTAAGATTTCAGTCAGTTTTTTTTTTTTTTCCAGTTTTTATTTCTAAATGGTTTTCAGCTAATTAAGGCTCAGATTTGATTTTATTATTTAAAGAAATCTGTACGAAAAGTTTATTGTTTTCTTGGATTTAAAAGTTTCTCATCGCCCATTTTTAGAGTATTGTTTAAATGACTATTTGGTTTAAAGTATATTTGTATTGCAATCTGTATTTATATTTGATTTTGAATTTGCATGTAATGTTTTTAGACCAGTTTGGTTTTTTTTCGAATGGTCGTTTTTACATATTGTAAAGTTTTATTTTATTTATTTATTTTGTGTGTGTAATCAATTTGAAACAATGTTATGTTTAATTCTTTTTTCCCAAGCATTTTGAAGGTGCGTAGGGAAAATCTTGGTACATTTGCAATTCACGTTTTTTGGTCTTGTATGTGTTTCAAAGTAAAGGAAATTTGTTTCTTTTTTCGGTTTTTGATCTCAAATAAACCAGGAGAGTGAAACACGTTTTTGAAGCATATTAATCAACTTTTATAAAGCTTTAATTCATTTTCCCCTGATGAGTTTGAATTGGAGTTTCAATAAAAAGAGATTATTTTTTTTATGTTTTTTTTATCTTGTATATATTTTCTCTTTTGCATTTTTAGTTTTTGAGTTTGTACTACTGTGATCATTTTTATTATGAATTTAGATACTGTGTTAAACCTCTTGTACAAGAACGCAATTATTAATATTGTTGAGGAATTGCTTTGCTTTGACTCCAATTTACTTTTAACTTAAAATTCTTTAAGTGCTGGTATCCATAGTAGGTTTAAGACTAGAAATGCTAATCTTGATATCCTCACCTTGGCCATACATACAAACACAATCAATGTATCAAAATGGAGGTAATCACTTTGCATGTTTAGGTCAGAAGACTATTTGGAACTGCCACTCCATTCAAAATACATTTTATTTAGGTTCATCTGTTGGGACTTAATTTTTTTTTTTTTTTTTTTTTCCTTCTTGGGCTGCATGCAGGCCATCGGTTGAACTTAAGTTATTCATTATACATATTATTCATTCCCAGACATACTTGTCTTATCCGAAAAAGTAATTTCCACATACACTTGTGGCTTATCCAAGGCCATCGCTAGACATTTTGCAGCATGGTGCAGTCTGAGCAGGTCTGATATTCTACTGCCAAAAGACTCCCAAAATTCAAAACATTTTGCTGCTCCTAAGTTTTGCATCACAGTCAGCGCTTTCCCTGAATTTTGAATGATTTTGCCATTTATTAGTCTTGTTGCTTCCTTATATTCTAAAAATTATTCAAATTCAGCCCTCAGTGCAGCCGCAGCAGTTTTGGCACCGGTCATAGGATTAACTGAACAAGAAATCAATTACTTTCAATTCAAATAGCACTAAATGTTATCTTTTAGTTTATGAGTATCATTTATGAAATCTATTTTTTGGTATGGAAAGAAATTTATGATTAATTTTCCCTGTATTCATCAGCAAATATATGTCAACATAAAAGGTTACCATGCTATTTGGTATTCAATTACTAATATTAATTTTTATTTAATGAAAAATTTTAAAGATATTGCTGAACAAGTCATTTCTCAAGCTGCAGTGTCTTGGTAGTCATATTTTGATGAATTTGATGAAAGCAAAAATAATAATAATAATAATAATAATAATCATAAATAATGATTTGCCAGGTTGGCTTCAGTGGTGAAATCAAATTAAGAATTGAGACTTTGTTTTATTAAGAAAAAATATCAAAGCACAATTGCAAAATATGAGAAACGTTTGCCAAAATGGTATTTTTGGAGTAATTCATTGCTTTTCTACATGGATGTTTATGATATTAATTTTGTGTTACAGTTATTAAATCGATGGATAGAAATATCTAAAGTAAGTGTCTTCAACCTTTCACGCCCAAGGGCCACATCAATAAATTCACAAAGATCCGCGGATCACATGTCTGTCAAAAAATAGCATAGTCAGAAAAATTATATAAAAAAAAGGAAGTTTTGCAAGACTACAATTGATTCTAGGTGAAGAGATAGTGTTGCAGATTTGTATATATATTTATAAATTATTTCCGAAAAGTCAAATGGAAATTGAATTAAAATTTTTTGCTACTTTTTTTAACTATGAAAAAAAGCATAAAGATGACTGTACAGAAAGATGTTACAAAATGCATTTTCAATTAAAAAAAAAAAAAAAACTTAATACTGGCAGGGGATGGTAGTTACTTTAGTTTTAATGTGAAATTCGACATTGTTTTTGCTTCATTAAAGCTTCAGTCTGTGTTGCTGTAATTCGTAAAGCTTCCTCCAAATGTCTGTCTGTCAGCCATGTTCTTGTTTTTGATTTTAGGATTTTCATTTTATTAAAAAGCTGTTCATATGTAGGTACTGCCAAAGATAGAAGATATGAAGAGTGCAATTTATGAATTCCTGGATACTTGTCTTCGGTTGCTTACTTCGAATGAAAATAAATTAATGTAGGATTTTCAAATGACTTGCATTTTACTGCAGTCCCACTATAAATCTATAAATTTTGATTGAAATTCAGGTGGAATACTTCCAACGTCTACTGAAAATGGCAAGGAGAACATTCTGATAAAAATTTCATTTTCGCGAAAATTGGAAAATCTGCTTTTGAATTTCTCTTTCAGATTTGAAATGCATTGTACATAATTATTGGAATTCCATGTTGTAGAGTTCTTCACACACTCCATCACTTTTGGAAAGTGAGTGGAATTCTTATTTAGTAACTGACTTTCCCACAGGATTAATTTTGTCTCAAAAGCTTTCACAAATTAATAAGGATTATGAACAAGTAGACCTTTTCCCAGTAAGTGGTAGTTCAAATCATTGAGATGACCTGTAATATCAGCAAGAAATGCAAAGTCTCTCAACCATTTCTCATCACTGAACTTGTGAAGAGATTTTCCTTTAGATTCAATGAATTGTTGAACTTCGCTCTTCAAAGAAAACAGGCGCTGAATCATCTTTCCTTGGCTAAACTAGCGTACTTTTGCGTAATACACAACATTATCGTATTCAGCTTCCAAATCACTCATGAACTGTTGAAATTGCCTGTGATTAAGTTCTTTAGACAAAATGAAATTAACCACTTTTACAACAACATTCATCACATGTTCAAAATATGAGAACTTCTTGCACAAATTTTCTTAGTGGATGATGCAGTGGAAAGTCATCATAGTATTATTTCCACTTGCCTTTACATCAGGTTTGAGTAATGTTGTTACTCTTACTTCCTCTCCAGTCAGATTTAGCCCCATCTGTGGTTATAGCAGATATATTACTGAAGTCAACATTACATTTATTCAAGGTTTGTGTCAGACTCGAATACAAATCTGTTTCTTGTGTTGTACCTTTAAATGCAACGACACTGGCTGATTCCTCTACAATTGTGAAGTCTCTCTCAACGCCATGAATAAAAATGGCTACTTGTGCAGTATCTGTTGCATCTGTTGATTCATCCATCGCTACAGAATAAAACTAAAATTTTGTGCATTTGGATTTTAATTTACTGAATATATCTGTTGCGAGATCCTTTATGTGCCTCACTACTGTCATACCAGACAATCTAATATTCGATATGACTTGAGCCTGTGATGGATGAAGCACATCAACTGCCCTCTGAAGGCATTCTTTTGCAAATTCTGCATAAGCAAAGGGTTTTCTATGCTTAGCAGTTTTTTCTGCTATAATGTAACTAACACAAACACTATTTTCAGATTCTTTATTCGCTGTGATGAAGATAAACTGCTAAAAATTTAGTTTTGATTTTATTCACTCACCTTATCACTTCGAAAATGGACCTTCCAATGCAGAATATTTCTCACTGTGCTTAGTATCATAATGTATCTTAATGTTGTATTCCTTCATCACAGTTACGCTGTCATTGCAAATAACGCAAACTGCCTAAAATTCATCAATTTCAGAAAATTTTATCTCAAATAATATCAGGCATGTCAATAAAATGTTTTAAATATCAAGAAAAAGAAAAACAGAAGTTTTATGGTAAAAAGCTGACAAGGCAATTTTTTTTTAAATCAGACTTTCTTAAAATTCAAATGTCGGGCCACTAAAATGCCTTCAGCGGGCCATGGGTTGAAGACCCCTAATCTAAAATAATGTTGCTTTCTATTATATAAATTTATGCTTTTTAGGTAAAAAGTAAGTTCTGTACTGTCTCCAGCTTATAACTGATTCTGTTCTGTAAACTACCAGTATTCAGCGATTTTACCATTGAGACATGGCTGTTATTTATATGAACTGATTAATAACATCAAATTTGGATTTATTTTATTATTGAATTGGGATACCTTTTTGTTATTATTGTAATTTGGAAATTAAATTATTTTATCAGAACTTCTGTGTTTAATGATCTTGCAATTTAATTTCTTTGATTACTATTATTGTGTTTTTCAGAACTATTTTTTTGCGTTATACTGTCGTGAAAGGACCTTTCAGTGAAATTAAAGTTCGACCACGCATTGAAGAATTTACATTTAGTGATGCTACTCCTGAATCTCATTATGCTCCATTAGACTTAGAAAACTCTGTTGAATGTTATAGACTTCTTTCTGGAACTATAAAATTTAGACTTATAATGTTTTTGAGTGATCCCTTATCAACTACACCATAATCCATTTTCATTTTTAATATTTTATTGAATTACTTAGACATATACATGTAACCAATTGTAAAACTGTACTTTTCAATTTGTGCATAAAAATGGAATTTTACGAGATGTAGGCAATAGATGAAATCTTTTAAGTGCCAAATTCCTTTAAAATAACAGCAACTATGTAAGTAATAGTCACTTAATTTATAAACTGTATCTTAAGTTTTTTATGTTTTCCTTCTGATTTAAACTAAAAAATCCTGTATGGATAAAATATTTATCTTTTATCTAATTTTATTAGTATAAAGGAACTATTCTTGTCAGTTTTTAAATTATGTATTTGTAATTTTTAGCATCATCATTCTTGGAAACCAAACTCACAAATTCTAGAAAATAAAAAATTGTTTGTTAAGATAAGTGACTGTTAATTATTAATGAGCAGAAAATATGGATGTGTATGTTATAAAATTCAGTATTATTCGGTTTCGAGGGCCGTAAAAAAAATCGCCGAACTATTGTTGATACCCATGCTGCCAAAAATAATTGCGGCAACCCTAATAATTGCGGCAAGAAAGGAAGTATAGAGGTAAATAACTAATTCAGAAGTCAAACAACAAAAATCAGCGTTATATTTACAAAATTTTCACAGGACTAGTTTTGATGGTTTTACCGAACCACCATCTTCAGCTGCAAAACCGCAAATTTTTCATTTGTCATTTTGTAAATATAACGCTGATTTTTGTTGTTTGACTTCTGAATTAGTATTTATTCGGTGTGTTATTGTGTCTTAATGGTAAATAACAATTTAAGATTGATGTTTTAATTTAGATGAAAGGTTAATTTCATATAATACTTTTTTATTATTATAATTTATATGAAAAAGGGCTAAACATGACTGAATGGAAGCATAAGAGTAAATGACTATTTCAGATCATTATTATAATTTATATAAAAATTGCTAAACATAACTGAATGGATGCCTGCATCGCTATTTCGCTACCGACTTATCGTTAAAGCATAATTTCATCTCGTTGGTTGTTCAAACGTAATTTTCTATAATGAATGATGCCTTTTCTTTGAAAATATTCTCGGTAAAGTGCAGAATCGCTCACTTATTTGTTTGCCGCTTTTTACAAGGGTAAAAACGACTGGATTTTTGTCAATTTTCTTTTACTTTTTAAGTGAAAGTAGGTCGATGTGTACATAGATGAAGTCAAGGGGGGGAGCAGTGCCATTTTTGTGCAATTCTAGGATTTTTTTTTAAAGTGAAAATAGGTCGATGTGCACATGGGTACCGAGTGTGTGCAATTCTTAAAAACGCGTCAAGCAGTGGGTGATTCTGCACTTTACCCAAAATTCTATTGCCGACTTTTCATCATAAGCAATTCCCAAATTGTTAAATCCATAGGATATCAAAAAAGGATTTAAAAATTAAACTAGTATTTCAATGGCATCTTAAGAAATATAGAACTATATAAACTTACGCAATCTGAAATCAACGCATATGCTAGATTTCGCGCGCTGTTTAAATGGGCGCGTTTGCTAGATTTCACGCTTTTGCACATACATTTTTGCTGCAATTTTTTTACGGCCGTCACAATGGAATAGTACCTAAAATTCATAAAACTGCTTATCCCTATCTATTTAATACATAATTAGATATGCATGCATATTTGACAATTGTCAACTTTTGTATTTATTATTTGTAATTTTTTTCAAGTTTTATTTTACTAATAATTAAAATGTCAATTACCTGAACCACTATCAATTGTAAAACCCTAGATTCTACATTATCCTTATGAAAAAATTGTATGTATATACTACTATTAAAATTCATACAAAAAGTGCAATGTTGTACATAATTATTTTTATTTTTGTTACCAAATCTTTAAGTGAAAATTCATTTACATAAAGACATTGCAGATGTTAAAATGAGACTATCAGCATTTTTTCTTGCTATGTTAGTTTGTTAAGCAGTCATTTTGAGAGTTACTTGCATCATATGCTTAGCTATAGTGGTGTTCTTTAACTTTTAAAAAAGATTCTGTGAAATAAAATGTTTCAACATTTTTATATTCGTGTTCTCAACAAATGTAACATAAAATGTATACAGGGTTCAAGTCCTTTTTTGTGTAGAGTATAATTAACATAGACGTTTTTGTCATAAATTCTATACCAGACGCATAGAAAATCCTTGCAAGATTTTTACACAGAAGGTCTGCGAAAATCACAGAAACAACACATTTTCATAGTGAAAAGCAAAATAACTATATTTGTTTATGTTCTGATCAATCTTTCAGACATTACAGGAGTTAACTCTTATCTGCTACGTATTATAGTTCTTGCACTAACAGAGTGCCATCTTTAATTAATGCCAAGTTGTTCCCTCAAAAGACAGAAGATGTATAAGTTATTAACAGACTTCTATTTTTGTTGGCCAGTACAGTTCTGCAGGATAGATTTTGAAATATGCTATAGGGCTGGCAGACCAGTCATCTGTTTGGATGTTATTAATTTGTTGCAGTGTATGTATTTTTAAATTTTGTAAAAATACATATTCACAGCGGCTCTGGGTCATCCAGAAGATTAACAACAACTCAATATTTATATATCTTTTAATCATACAAAATGCTGCACAGTTTTATATCAAGCATCAGCTTTATAAAAAGCTTTTTAATTAAAAAAAATTGTGCTTTGTGAGATTCTACATCTATGTCTCTCTATATATATGTTATACATACACAATATTACTTTCAACTTCATATTTCAAAATTATGCCTGTAATTATTATACATGAGTATATTAGTGAAAAGAACTGAAACTACAATGTATTCACGAGTACTGAAAAACTTACTACATTTGTTGTTTGTAATCCATGAGTTCTATGATGTCAAAGTTTCTATTGAAAGAACTTTCAATTTTGTTTATTCAATTCACATTCGAATCACGATTCCAAAGTTAGTCTTAATGGCTATTTATTTACAAGCATCTGTTATTTTACAATATTTACATGATTCAAGATTCAGAATTTTAAATCAAAAGATGGGGATTACCCCCCTTCAAATCAAATTCTATTAAGAGAAGCCAAGTAGTGACCACTCCCTTCCAAGTTCGTTTTTTGACTGCCCGTTGCCACTGACAGAAGCAAAACTTTCGTTCATTTCGTGTTCAAGTTGTAACATTTCTTCCACCTTGTGATTTTTGACAAAGAATGGAAAAATTAAAACAAGTGCAAGATGAAATTTGAAATAACAGTTATAAGATGAGTAATTTAAATTTTATCAAAAATTAACAATTTTATCTAGGCGTAATAAATATCTTGAATATTTTAAACTTACTTAATATTCTGCAAAGTTACATGATTTTTAAAAAGACAAATAATTCTTTTCTGAAAACACTAGTAAATAGATTAATTCAATAAAACTGAAAAATTGTGTACAAAATTTAAATTCAAAGAAAAACAATGTAGAAAACAAATAATAGTGGTATTGAAAACAAATTAAAACTAATTAAAGTTCTTTGGTTTCACAATTTTTCTACCATATCTACTAAATGTTTTTATCAGAATTTTCAAGTTCACAGTCTTTGGTGTCAATTACTAAATCATCTTTTTTACCAATATTTCCTGAGGATATGAATGATTCAGTAGTTTTAAGCTCAAAGATAGATTCTTTATTGTCTATCTCCATTGAAATATTCTCTGAACTGGTCTTAGCAGTTCACCTCTAGATGTTTTTACTTTAGCCACTCTAATTTTGTCTTTTCCTGGGTATGTTTCGATTACACAACCCATAGGGCAGTTGGTTCTTTTCCTTCTATTGTCCTGTACAAACACTAAATCACCTTTCTTGATGGTTCACGAAGGTACAGTCTTTGGTCGATGTACTAACAGGCCAAGATATTCATCTCTAAATCTTTTACAAAATTCCACACGTAACTTTTGGTGGTATCGTCATCTTTTTGATAAGTTGATTTTATCTAAACTGTCCAGATCCGGAACACCTTCAGTTCGAACATCCTGGATAAATGTAGATGGAGTAAGTGCACTTAAATCGGCGGAATCTTCCGACTCGTAATGTTAATGGTCTGGAGTTGATATTTGCTTCTGCATCATACATGAAAGTTAAAATTTCTTCATATGAGAGTAATGCTCTCATATGAAGAACCTTTTGATCATCTGAACCAGTCTCTCCCACCACCCACCCCACCATGCTGCAGTTGGTGGATTTAACTTCCACTGAATTTTCATTTCGAAAAACTTCTGATAATTTGGTTCCACTCAACAGATTGGAGTAAATTCCTTGCTATTGTCGCTGTATACTACTCTAGATCGTCTTCTTTGTACTTATGAATCTTCGAAATCCAAGGAAGAATCCATTAGTCGATAAGCTTTCAATTAATTCTAAATGAACTGCACAACAAACTCCGCAGGTAAAAAGCAAGATTCAAGCCTTTCTATTTTCCTTTAAATAAAGTGGTCCTGCTACATCAACACCTGTCACTTCAAATGCATAAGCATCTCTGACTCGATCTTCTGGGAGAGGACAAAGCACTGTATCGAGCTTTCGCTGAGTGTCTCTTGCATCGAATGCACTTCGATAAGACTCTCTGTATTGTTTTTCTTCCTTTCATTTTCCAAAATTTTTTATGAATATTGGTCAAAAGGACTTGAGTACTAGCATGTAAAAGTTGTATATGGTAGTCTTGTATCATTCTTTCTACTAATTCATGTTTGGATGGAAGTACGATGGGGCACCGGGAATTTTCATCGTCATGTCTTCTCAAAATCTTCATTTTCAATCTTACAATCCTTCTTCATCAGTGAAAGTAAAACGTCCCTTCAGCTGTTCTTCATTAGAGAATGCTTTTGGTTGAATGATCCTCAATAATTTCTTCTCAGCATTGTCCAGTTCTTCAACTCAGGGATTTGTCATAATTTCTTTCTCCATTTCTACAATTATTAATGAATCTCAGAATCCAAGAAACCATTCTCACAATTTTAAAGTAACTTGAAAAGTAATTCAGATACCATTTTTCAGCGGTGATATTAGCTAAACTTGAAATAATGTTCTTTCGCTTTTCTTTCACAATTTCTTCATTCTGGCCCTTGCCACCAATGAGATTTCACAAAACTCTTAATCAAACACCCTCGTGATGGTATATCTGCGTGATTTGAATTTCCTGGAATGTGACGCCATTCAGGTTCACTCTACTTTTAGATAGAAGAAAATGTACCGATATATTTCCACTTGTTTCTTTTCTTAAATGAATCACACATCCATAGGCTTGTTTACTTGCGTCACAGAATGTATGAAGACTAAGACTATTTATATCTATTTCCTATCTAAGACTATTTATATCTATTTCCATTTATATCTAAAGCCCTTTGAATTCTAATATTGGATAAAAGCGACAAATAATCAGTCCACAAATAGAACTCTATAGGTATATTTGCATCCCAGCCAATTTTTTAACAACTAGGTCTTTTGTACGAGAAGTTTAGGTGTTAGCGTTATTGGGTAGAGAAAACCCATGGGATCGAAAATGCAATATACCGCAGACTATATACAGTACAAAGTCTTTAATCCGAACTCATCGGGACTTTGGCGATTCCGGATTATATAGATCATCAATTTAAATTTGGTAAGATGGC